CATCTTTCCAGAAAAGCAATACCCAGAGTCCTAATACAAACTACGACTACATCTCTTCGTGTCTTAAATTCGTTAAAAATGCTCTTACATAAAGATTTCTTTCCAGGGTTTTTACTCAGACTTCTGCATGGAGCTGGCAAAGACATTTTGTAATAGCTAAATCTTCATTAGTTATATCTGTTTGCTTTGTGCCTTCATGACAATGATGAAAGCTGTAAATAAGTATATTGTCCCATCTTAACAAGGATAGCGTATCCATCAATAAGGACACTTACTCTGCTGAGATCTTTGCAAGGCTGTACAGGGGAGTAAATTAAAGAGAGAACAACATTCTTCATCTAAAGTGTCCTTGTTCTGTCACTTAATGTTTTACCCTTGCTAATATTTTTCAAAGTCTGGCTGTTAGTCAAAAAAGTCACTCAGTAGATGTGACATATTTTATCCAGCCTAAGTCTACTTGGTCCTAGAATGATTTTTCTAGGCAGCCATGGCTGGAAGTGTGACCTGAAACTCCTTCTGTGACTTCTCACCTTAATTTCCCAGCAGTCAGAGAAGTTTCCCAGTGAGATGTGTGGGGATGGAAGGGGCAACCAGAAGAGGTTGCTTAGCTGAACAGGGAGGCACAAGCCCTTGTTCGGGGCAGGAAATGAGTTGTCTGGACAAAGGCAGCTGGGATGAGGCTCCACTCTCAGTAATGTTCACTTCAGCCAAGAGTGACTGGTTGGTAACACCTCTCCTCTCACTAAACTCCCTTAACTGTCCTAATTAGGTGAAGCAAAAGCTGTGTGGTAACTTGGAACTGTCCTGTGTGTCAAGGCTGTCCTTAGTTTACGTGCAGATGACAGGGTTATGGGTTCACAGTGCTCAGGGAGCAGCTACAGGAGGTCTTTGGGAGGGAGTGAGGAGGGGGCAAGTGATGGTCAGTGCCACTTGCTGGGAGAGGTCCATGCTTGCAGCTCCCTGACCAGAGGAAAGGCCAAATGAAGCACCTCCCATGTGAGCCCACCTGACTCTGCACCAGCACTGCATGGCTGAAACTGAGCACAAACATCCTGCACAGGGACCTCTCCCTGTCCCCAGGAATGGGACAGCAGCAGTTTCCAGCCCATGGAGGTGGGAGCTTTCCCCTGGTGTGATGGGGCACAAAGCATCCTGACCAGGTACCGAGGTTCCCACTGAAACCAGCACATTCCCTCACTCCTCTGCATGGCATTTTATCACTGCCTCAGCACAGGAATCCCTGACTCACCCAGGTTAAACAAACAAAAATAATACAGGGAGTCTTGAAGTCATGGTCTTGCTCCAGGTTTATGGGACGATCCAGGAGTGAAAATCAGAGTGTGGCCTGCAGAGGGAAGAAAAGAGCTGTGGTAGCACCACTGCACTTCCCGGGGGTCTGCTCTGCTTCCTGCTGCTCCTCTGGCACCGGCTCCGAGCTGAATAGCTGCCTTTAAACGTTAAATACATTCAAAGCCCATTCATATCAAACCAAAATTAAACTGCTGGATTTCATTCAAGAGTCATTCCCTCTGAGAAAGGGCTGAGAAGAAAATAACAGTTAGCTGAATGCCTCACCCATCCAGCACGCAGGAAACCCCCCCTAGGAGGCAAGGTGGGAAGCGAGGCTGGGCTATCGCCTCACCTCATTGCATCGGTATCTGTGTGTAAGCCAGTTTCTCAATCCATTTAGAAATTTGCTAATTGTCATTGGAGCTATTTGCTGACGACTGTGAAGTAGCCTGATAATGAAGAGGAAGTCCATTTATTCGTTAGCATTTGCGAAAATAATTGCCTGTCACTTCACCGAGCATCCTTTGCCCTAAAAACACTTGCTCTTCAGCACCTTTTTATTTTTTTGTTTGAGCTGCACACTTTGAAACGCCACTTACAATTTCCAGTCCCTGAAGGGCTCATTCTCAGCCGCTGTGACAGGAGTGAGGGCTCACACTCCACAAGAGGACACTAAACGTCCTGTCACTTCTGCTGCAAGGAGAGGAGAGCGTATTAACAGTGCTGCAGGCTGACTGCAGCTCCCAGGTACTGCTTAAACTGTGGGGCTTACAGGGCTCTGCAACCTGCCCCACACCTCTGCCAGGCATCATGGCACGGCTGGGAGAAGCTGTGGATGCAGGGCTCAGTGCCAAGAAGACAAGGTAGCCCCAGCCCCACCATCTGAGCTTCAGGGGCTGCCTTCTGCCCCCTGATTGCTATACCTGCTCTCAGCCCCCACAAAGACAACAAAAAGACTGCATGAAGCCAGGTATGCACCAGGAAGTGAGTCCTGAAGGGAGGAGGAAAGGTTCTTTGGAAGTTAGAAGAGTGATGTCTCAGAAGGGGGAAGGGGAGAAGAGGGAGATCTGTGTTCCTAAGCTCAACCCTCTATGCCAGTTACCCCCTTGAGTACAGCCAACACTTCTACCAGTGCCTGTTCCTGCCATGGGTGACACCCCACAACATCTTTGTGCCCTGTGCTCACTGGCTCACCCCTCTCCATTATGCCTGGTACTTCCTCTGCCGCCACCACCTCTCCCACCAACATGGGCAACATAAACCAAATTGTCCTTTTGCTTTGGACAAGAAAAACGCAGCCTTGCCTACAAGACCAAGGGGCTCTGAGCCCTCTGCCTTCTGAGGAAGGTGGGTTTGCCATGGCAGGTAACCACATTCCAGGTGCCTCACCAGGCCCCTGGAGATAAGTGGGAGAGACAGTGTGTGCCACCCTCTGAATCAACAGAGATCTACCTGCTTGCACCCGCTGGGTTTATGCTGCTGTCTTATCTCTCACTCCGAGGGCCGCTTGTTTGTCAGCTGTGCTGAATTTTTATTGTTTCCTGGGTTTGCGAATTCCCACATCTCCTGGAGGTGGATGGCCACCAGTGTTGACTTAGCAGTGCATGGAGCGGGAGATAAACACTGTCCTGCCGCCGGGACCCTACGGAGCCGTGCACCCTGCCCTGTGCTCTGTGCTTCTTGCCCGGGGCTCCTGCGGCAGGGCCAGGAGCCAGGGTGAGTGTCACACAACACTGGAATGTGTCATCCCCTTGGATGTGGGCAGGGACTCAGTCACAGCCCCACAGAAAACCCCGAAAGGAGCACACCTCTGCAGCTCATCCCAGGAGCGGGGAGCGGAGCAGCTCCTGCCTGGACAGGACCAAGGAGCTGCGAAGGAGGGGACAGCCACAGGAGCACTCAAGGTACCGTCTGCGCTCAAGGTGCAGCCCCTGCAATCCCACCCAGTTGCACCAGCAGTGGGGTTGGCCACTAAGGTTTGGGATGATCCAGTCAGTGAAGCAACATCCTGCCACCACAAGCCAGTGCCATGCTACTGGGTCCAATGGACTCATGATAGCTCACAGCTGTCGGGAATGGCTTGTTAGATGCATTTACTGCTCAGGGTGCAAGCTTGCAAGTGTTTGCGAGGGTTAGTTGGTGCTGGTATAGCACCTTGGGAAGGTGGGGTGAAGGGCTGGGTCAGGCAGGTGCTGTGAGTTGGGCTTGCCATGTGGAGGAGGATTCCTGGTTTGGGCAGACTGGAGATACTGGCTGTGTTTGCTTCTTGAGCAGGTATTTGATGCATTTCAGGATTAGGCAACTGTCTTTTTCAGGTGCTGTGGTGTTAAGAGGGAGAAGTGTGTGGGTGAGTGTAAATCAGCTCTGTGCAGGGAGAGCTGCCTGTTTACACCTGGGGATTTAGGCTTCCAGATATTTAATTTCTGGTAACTGTACTTCAGCTTGTTGAAACATTTCAGTCTTGAAAAGCCTCTTGTGGATAATGAGACTATGGGGAGGCACCGCTCCCAGGGAGCCTGAGACTGGGGAGCAGGGGTGGATGTGGGCCTCATGTTAGCAGTGCAATTAATGAGCAAGTAGGTAGCCAGCATTTGCGAGAAAACTCTAGGAGAGAGGGGGATAAAGCAAAATGAGAGAAAGGTTTTGTTGCCTCCCTTGAAACCAAGAACAAGCAAAGCTCACTGAAGTTTAAAATGTCCTCTGTGGTATGTCATGTGGTGAGGGACCGTGGGGGAGGTAGGAGATGGTTCTGCTTTGAGATCTGGGGTCTGCCTGGAGAAGGCTGTGTCCCACAGCCAGCTCTGGAATGACTCTGCCAGCCGGGTGATCCTCCCCAAGCTGTCCCAACAAAGGACAGAGGGGCTGTGTGACCCACATCCTGTGTCCTGGTTCAGGGGGGTCCTCCCGCCTTGTCTCAAACCAGACAGAGAAATGTCTCTGCTGCACTGGGAGCTGGTGGGACAGTGAGAACGACCTGTGGTTCACACTTTGTTCTGTGACAGGGGCCAACCCCCTCATACCTGCCCATGCCCCAGGATAGCTGCTGCTCCTGCTGCCACTGCAGCTTCCCCGACTCATGTAGGTGACCCGGCTTGGGCTCTGCTTGTCACACAATCTGTTTAACTCCTTCTCTGCTGGCCACGTGCACGCTGGAGAGCCTTCCAAGGAAACTCAGCTGCCTCCTACCTGCACTTCCCCTGTTGCTCTCTGTCTGCTGTCTGCCCACTGTGGCTGCAGGTCTCTGCAGCACAGACCATCCCTGAGCTGCAGCACAGGATGGGGAATGAGGCAGCACATGGAGTGAAGAAAGGGGACACCAGTGCACTCACCTGCAGCTGGTCCTGTCCCTGGGATGTGGGTGCTGGTGCTGACCCAGCCTGCAGAGAACAACATCCTTACCACCCCCACTAGGAAGAAAGACCAACTCCCTTCTAGGCAGCTCCTCTTAGGAGGAACTTTCCCCTATAGGATGCTGCAGGGAGAGTGATGTGAAACTGGGGTGGGGCAATGTGACCTTTGCCTGTTTGCTATCTCAGTGGATGTCACCAATGAGGAATCCTCACACCACAGATCCTCACTGATGAACCATGGAGACCAAGCCCTTGCTGGAAAATGTTAGCCACAGCCCTGCCTGGCTCCCACTCCCACCTTCTTCACCTTGTTAATTATTACAGGGGAAATGATGAAGGCCAGTGTGCAGCAAAGTCCAGTCTGAGGGAGAAGATCAGCAGTTTGCTCAGAGCCATGACCCAGCCGATCCCAGCCAGCACGGAGCCGCCGGCACTGCCAGGGCACACGGCAGCAGCCTTTGGAGTGGCAGACATCACCGTCCTGGTTCTGTACTTTGTCTTCGTCCTCGCCGTCGGGATATGGGTGAGTCCCCAAGGGGACTGGGTTTGGGTCTACCTGAGGCAGAGACACTTAGATCCTCCCTGGACCCCTCCTGGGTACAAAGATGTTTGTACCCAATGGCATCCTCTGCCCTCACTGTTATCCCAGAGCCTGTTGAGCAAGTTTGGGGGTGACAGTGACCCTCCTGTGAGCCCTCACTCCCAGCCCACATGGGGACAACCAAGGGATCATTCCCAGGAGATCATTCTGGGAGTGATGCTTACCTCCTGTGCTGCAGAGCAATCTAATATCAGGGTGTGGGTGGGCAGGAGGCAAAAGAAAAGCCAGGGTTGGGGTGGAGAAGATTGAAATGGGACTTCAAAATCTTTGGAAAGATTGTTGCTAAATATTGTTCATGTTGTTTGGTGAAGGCCTGGTAAAGGTCACAGAGACCTACAGTGTTCTAGCTGGCTGAACTGCTTTTTCTTTCCCAATTGGTACATTCAAGGAGAAGTTATTAAACAGGTATTAAGCAGCTTCTTTCCAAAGAAGTTTGACTATGAGAAACCTGGACAAGGATCAGTGGAAGCAGTGGGCAAAACCTTGTGTATTTAACAGATCCACAAAGAAACTTTTGGAGCTGATGCTGACACCAAGCATTAAGGATTCTCCTGGCTTGGTCTGACTCGAGGGTGGGTGAATGGGGAAAAACACTTTTCTTTTTCCTGTGCTTCCAGTCATCGATACGAGCAAGCCGGGGGACCATTGGAGGCTATTTCCTAGCTGGACGATCCATGACTTGGTGGCCTGTGAGTGAAACACATCCCTCTGTTTCTCATGGTTTGAAAGCAATTCCAGATGCAAGGAGGGCAGGTCTGGTGAGGAGACCCAGTCCTTACATGTTTTGACTGTATTCTTGAGTTGAAGAGGACAAATGAAGGATCCGTCAGGGATCATCCTATTCAGCTTTGCTAATGGGCTGCCAGGCTGAAAGGGTAGCTCAGCATCTTCACATTTTTCCAACTCTCAATTTCTCTGCTAAAGACACCAATGAAATTGTCCCCACTGATGGAAGTGAGGGACTGCTGACAGTCTAGTTGGGTTTGAAACTCTTCAGCCCCAACTCACCCCAGATAGTTGTACCCAAGTCAAGAGAGCATTAGGTAATCTAGGAATGTGCTATCCAGTAAAAAAGCATTTAGAGACTGAAGAAAAAATGATCCCAAAGCCCAGGACTTTCTGAGCCCTTGCTCTTTAGAGCAAAGTTGAGTTTATCGACTAACAATGTAGGGGATATAAACTTCAAACCACTGAAGTATAAATCTTCACTATGAAGAAAAAAATAATAGATTGAAGGCACCTCTTCTTGGGAGTGAAAGGTACATACAAAGATAATTTAAAGTTTGAAAGGAATAAAAACACCACAGGAATAAAGATTCTTCTCAGCCAACGCCAGACTCTGTATAACCCATATATCTCTCCAGTGAGTCGTGGGTAACAGGATGCACTTCTCAACCAAAACACTGGTTTATTTTCTTTTTTTTAACTTTGGCTGTGCATTGCCCATAAATTCACTAGGCTAGATTTTCAGCCTGCTCCATCAGAGACACATGCACCTCTCTAAAATCTGTCATTTCTTAAATGTTCTTTATACTACTGTTTCGGCCAAGTGACATTTAATTGAAAATACTTAGCTTGATGGTTTTCTCTAATTAGGAGGGGGAAAATTAAAAGATACTAAAATGAAACATTTTTTCCTCAATTTTGTTCTTTTTTCTTCTTTCCCCCCCCCCTTCTATTAAAAAAGCCCCAAAACAAACCCAAAAACATTCTTACTGCTTTTGGCTCCAGGCACAGGTGGCCACAGAGACTGTTGGGTACAGGTCAGTTCTTGGCTCTTTGCAACCATTTTAGGTTCAAAGCAACCTCTAATGCTGTTCCCTTTCCAGTTTTGTTTGTCAGAGCTGATTCTACCTCTGCAGCACTCCTGCAGGCTCAGCTCCTTGTGGCCTCCACCTTGAGTTCAAGGCTGGCTTACATGTATTTTATTACTTTTTTTTATGGGAGGGACAGGTTTCAGCTATGAATTAAACAACCTCAACTAAACCCTGATATTAAATTGCTGCTCCTCTGCAATGTATCTTCTCTATTTCTGTGTGTGATCTGCATATCAGGAAAACTGGTTGCATTTCTTGAGAGCACCAGTTGCTAATTCATGTTGCAGCAACCAGCTCTCTAATCAAGAGTTTTCCTAGACAAGGAGGCAGAGCTGTCAGCAGGAGTCAGTGTGGGTGTTGATGTCATATTAATGTTTTACCTTGCTCAAAGGTGAGAAGCAGATCAACTTCTATCATCCCTTATTTCACATGTAGCAATACTAAGGAGAGAAAAGCTCCTCGTTGGCGATGTGCCTAAAAGCAAACTTTAGGACAAAAGGTCTTGGCTTGTCCTTTTGGTAACTCATTTGACCCTGAGAGAGACTTGATGCTGGCATAAAGAAAGGAGGTGAGGCTTTGTGCCAATTAAAATAGTAGTTTAGTCAGATAGCCTTTGCCCTGTTTAAGGAGCCTTAGAGCTGGCATTCTCCCAATTAGGGTGTCAATGAGCCATGGTAGGGACAGCCTGCCGTGCCCACAGCCTGCAGTTGAAGTTAACCTGAGGCCATTAGCATTTTCCAGCCTGCTGCAGAGCTGGATCGCTTCAAACACACACGCTGAACACAAATAACCTGCATGTTTCTAACACTGTCCGTGCCACGGTTCAGGGATCTCCTCCCTTAGGAGGAGCTTCAAGGAAGTGCTCTTGTCACTGTCTCTGTGTGAACCACCACCACCCATGTTCAGTGCAAAACTTAAAAAGGGGCTGTCAGCAAGACAGGGGGAGGTAGAGCAAGGGTCAGCAAGGTCGGAGCAGGCATGTTGCTGTCTGACTAACAAGGGAATGGGGAAATCCATCACATTTCATGGACACTGAGGTATCTCTGGCTGACACCAGACCTCCCTCACCCTGCTGTTCTCCCCACAAGGAGCCTGTGTCTCAGGAGAACCACTGACAAAGTGAACCCTGATTCTGAGGTTAAGCTTTGCATTGGGGTGGGGGCAGTGGAAGGGAGGAGGCACACATACTTTAAGATACAAAAAGGTAGAGTATTTTTTAGAAGGTGAAAGAAAACTCAACTGTCCATCAACATCCAGCTACCTAACTACAAGGAGATGAAGTCCTGGGAAAAGGGCAAAATGCTTGGGCTGATATAGAAGTTCCTCAGGGTGACTTTGTGGGCTTTGTCTCTGTGCCATGTGTTTCAGATTGGGGCATCCCTGATGTCAAGCAACGTGGGCAGTGGTTTATTCATCGGCCTGGCAGGCACTGGAGCAGCTGGGGGCCTTGCTGTTGGGGCCTTTGAGTGGAACGTAAGTCAGTTTTGCTGTCAACTAAGATGTCGCTGTTTACAAATGGACTGTGGGTTTGCTTCCAAAATCAGGTGCTTAACAGTATCAGCAGCAACAAGTGCTCAAGCCTCATGAGAGAAGCCTCCAGGTATTCCGAGAGCCTTGAAAACACGAGATCTTTGTTTTAGTTTAAGTGGAATCCATTAGAGTTATTAGCTCTTTGACCTTCTCAGAAGCACGTGGCCATAATTTTAAGCTTTAGTCTGCACTCATGAAGATTAAAATAAAAGATAACGAATGCTGGAAAGGTACTTGGATAATCACAGGATTCTGGGTACAGGGAGTTTAAAAAAAAAAGCACCATGTTCTCCTAAATTCAGTGTAAATCCATGAGAATCAGCAACACTGCCTTCACCTGTCAGCTGCCAACATGTGGCATCTCTGGGGAGAACATCTGGGTGTGAAGGCAGGTCTGATTCTGCCCTGTGGAGGTGGCCTGGAAAATTGCCACTGACACCGCACAAAGCATGAAAACCGGGCCCTTTGTGTGCGATGCTAATGAAATTTCTCAGCTGCAGTGATGAAGAGTGAGATTAGTGCCAGCCTCACAATAAACATAACTCATCTAACTCTGAATCTCTTGTCTACATCAGCAGAGAGTGCTAATGGTGCTGGGTACTTGCCACAGCACAGGCAGGGCCCACCGAGAGCTCTTTCCTGGGATATCTATTCACTGGACTGGGTTTTTTTCTGGACCATTAAGATCACCTTTAAGTCCTTTGTGAAGAAACCAGAGACTGTGTTCAGCCTGGTACACATAGGACATACCAATATTGCTGTAATTTAGGAAATCTATTCAAGTCACTTTAGAAGCCCATGAAGACAAGATTGTATGTCAGGGCAAATCTAACTTCATGAGTTTAGATTAATTTCTTTCAGAGTGGAAAGGCACCTTAGATATGCCATTATTCTCTCCCTTTATCGTGGGACATCACTCAGCCAGAGGGATCATATGAGCATCTTTCACCTCAGCCAGTCTCTGTCACTGCAGGAGCCATGGCTGTTCTCCTCAATCAGTCACAATCTCTGCTCACAGGGATCAGTTTCTTTTCTGAAAACTTAAATAACTGATTGAAATAAAATCTGGACTAATGTAAGGTACTTGGATGAAAGGTAATGGCCCAAGACAGCCAGGGGGTGAGGTTTGATAATCCAATGGCTTTTTTTTACCTTCAAGTTCTCCTGTGTGGGCTTTTGCTGGGAATCAGAGAAGAAATACATGGTAGGAGATGCCCTTACACCTTCCAAAAGACTCTTCACCTGTGGCAGAGCAACTGAACTGCCCCTTTATCTACCAGTGACAGAAGCACATCTGTGTCAGCCTGCAAGGAGAATATCCCAGCAGAGTCTTGCTGTTGCTTATTTTTATGCTCCACAGGGACAGTCTGCTGCCTCAGCCTCATCACTTGCTAATCAAGCAATAAACAGATGCTCCCATCCTGCTCTGAATCACTTAACTCTTCACTGCCACAGCATCAGTGGCCTCAAAGGCCACCAAATACAGCATCATCTTTCAGAGAGCCACAGCAAACAGACACACCACCTTGACCGAAAGATCAGGAGATGGAACAGGATGTGCCACCCGTGACAGAGAGACACAGGGCTTAGGAGAAGAACTTCAGAAGCTTCTAACTGAATTGTAATAATTCCTCCAGTGGTTGTCTCATCTTCTGAGCAGGAAGAAAAAGTTGGACTGCTTCTCCAATACATTGCATGGCACTGTACCTTTCTGCTTTCTTAGGGAAAAGCTGTTCCCATGTGTTGAATCATGTGCCTTTATGTTCTGTCTCTTTAACAGGCCACCTGGGCACTTCTGGCCCTCGGCTGGATCTTTGTGCCTGTTTACATCGCAGCAGGAGTAGTCACCATGCCCGAGTACCTGCAGAAGAGATTTGGAGGGCAGAGGATACAAATCTACATGTCCATACTGTCCCTGATTCTCTACATATTCACCAAGATATCCGTATGTATCCAGTTGAACACAAACCCTTGTGTCTAGGGCGGGGGTAGGTCATCCTGGTACAACTCAGGGCTGCTCATGGAGAACTCAGATGTCCTTGAAAGGACCAGCTCAGCTCCCAGAAACAATAGCAGTGTGTTTGTGCTGCTCTGCTCAGGCAAACACTTGCCTCTGTATTGATCACGGAGACCTATCCTAAGAGAGAGAGCCCTCATTAAACAGCAACACACAGTGAGAACTTTACAGGGATGTGCAGCTAATTACTAAACAGTATAAGTACCACGAGCTGTCTGCCTGCTTTTCCTCTTCTATCAGATCAAACCTTAGGCAACAGAGACAGAGGAAGGGCAGCATTACCCCATCTGAGAATCTGGCTGGCTGCATCTTGTAGAGGTGAAATTCTATTAAATTATCATAAACCTGCTGCTGTTCTTGTAGCTGAGTTTTCAGCATTAGGTACGTTATGGCTATTTCTTTCTCTTTCTATCACTTATGTTGTACGAAAAGGGTACAGTGAAAGGGAGGTATGTTCTGGCTTAAGACAAAGCTCAGCATCTTTTCTGGATTGCTTGTAGCATTGTACCCTGCCGGTAACCAAAAAGCAGTGTAAGCTGCAGAGTATTTCCCCTTTTAAATGCCATTCATACAGAAGCAGAATTTATGCTCAGATACTAAGAACTACCTATGCCCTTGGAGGGAGAGGATGGTATTTCAGAGTTTATTATAGGAATTATTAAGGATGTCAGTCCTTTGTCTCCAGCTCATTGTCCCAAGGCCAGTACAAGTCAGTTTTCACTAGACCCTACTGCAGTATTTAGTTGCCAAATTGCCTTGGGAAGCAGTGACTGGAGATTTGCAGCTGGTTTCAGAGTCCTTCTCCCAGGCTTATCATGTCTCAGGTCCTGGGAGGGACATGAAGGGGAGTTCCAGGCGGGAAGGGTGGGATAGATTTGCTCCTCTAACGGGCAGCTCTTGGTCACGTCACCCATTGCTGTCACCACTGCCACCAGGAGCTTTGCTCTGTGGGTCTGGAGCATTGCCCTGGGTGAAGTCTTGCCAAGAGGCATTTGAAGCCTCCTTACCCATCAGGGGGTGAATGGAAGACCTCTCCTGCCACAGCCCACAGTGTGCACAGCCACACAGCCGTGTGGCAAAAAACAGAGCTGCCTTTCAGAATGACCTTCAGCAGAGCAGAATTTGCCAGTGCTTTTCAGAGCAGGACCCTGGCCCCCGTCAGTGCTGTTTCATCTCAGTGGTTTCTCCTCCGTGCAGCCAATTCACTCGTGGCTGATGGATGTGGCTGGTGGAGTTTATGGGCATGACAGGTGCTTTCTATTAAGGGGTGCTATTGTTTGTGCAGAGCTCATTTAGCGGCTGGCTGGACAGCAGGCAGTTGGTTACAAGAAGGATTTTTCTCCCTGTGCTTTCTGCCCAAACATAGGTTAACAACTAGGGCATTGCAGAGTCTTCTTGGCTCGCAAAGAAAACAGAGATCTCAATAAGCAATGTTGTCAGAGAACTGATCCTGCATGGCTACAGAGGTGTTTGTGTTTCCTGCTGGGAAGTGAAACCCCAGAAGGCACCGTGATTCCTGTGGTGTACTGACTGTGCTAGTCCTGTCTCAGGTTTGCAGAGGGCAGGGGTTGCACTGGTCCTTGATTTTAAGGTGCTAATTTCAGGCACAGTAAATGGAATTCTTGCCCCATCCCTCCTGTCTCCCTTGGCAAATGTCTCTTCACCTGTATCTCACTCCATTCCAGATTTACAGGTGTCCTTCCAACTGATTTCCCAACACAAACATCTCCCATATCACCTTCTGCAATTTTGAATGATGTTATCTGTGTAATTCTGGGTTTCACCCAGTTTCTGGTGCCACTCTCTCTGCCAAAAGGTCCAAACAAAACACAGCCAATGGGGGTTTCTGTATTCCTAGTGAGCTCCTCAGCAGGTAAAACCTGTTTTTTTGGAGTCATTCTGGTAGGATGAACTGCATGACCAGAAAAGCAAGCTGTTGACCTTTTCAGATAAATAAATCATGGTGTAAGACACCAGTAATTCTGTAGGGGTGTCTCCTGGGCACTAGCCCACCAAGAGGTAGTCCTGGGAAGAATGTGGTCTCTGCTTTCTATCCTATGTCTGCCTGTGGATACATGGGCTCTACTGCCCATGAATGTCTTCACAGTCAGCAAAAGGAGTGACAATTTCCACCAGTGCTTGTCTGTCCCACTGAGGATTCTGTGACATGAAGATCATCTCTATTTTGATGATATTTTAGTCCCTTGGCATAGGACCTTGATTTTTACCCTCATGCTCCCCCCAGCTCCCAGATCCCGAGAGCTCTGAGCTAAAGGAAAGTTTTTCCTTTTATTCAGAACAAGGTTCACAGCCAACAGCCCCAAAAGTTCTGTCCTCCTCTTCACCTTCGTGGTGTCCTCCCTCGTCAACGCTTTCAGCCGCAGAGGGCTGCAAGCTGCTTTATTAGATTTCACTCGCACGAAGTACTACTAATGCCAGACTGCCCTTGGGTTTTTTTATTCCAGACAGACATTTTTTCTGGAGCATTGTTCATCCAAATCTCTTTGGGCTGGAACCTCTACTTGTCCACTGTGGTCTTGCTAGCAGTGACTGCTGTCTACACCATAGCTGGTAAATAGCTGATTTTTAAAGGAAACTTTATAAACTGGAGCCTCGGATATAAGTTTTTCATTTCCTACAGAGGGGAAAGTATTCAGGTCCTGGTCTGAGGGAGAGATTGCCCTGGTTGCTGGTAGTACCTGCCCTATCACTCCCAGCTGTTGGAGACCTCTGGCTATTCCCTTCTCCCCTCCTGGCCCAAGGGAAACTGGAATGGGGGAAACATCGCTGTTTTCTAGAGGATTTCCTAACACTTCACAAGGCTCTCAGATCCCACTGCCCGTATTCACCATTTTTTTCTCGTTCTGCAAAATTACCACCTTTAGGTATTAGGATGCTAACGTGCCTCTGAGTTCTCTCATAAATGTGGAAAAGCCCTTCAGGCTATTCCTCCTGGGAGGGTTTCTGACAGCTGTGGGCTCCTGGGGACCAGCTCAGTGCCAGCTTCTCCCAGTGGGTCTGTCCTGAAATCACAGAGTTGGGGCCGAGGACAACATTTTCCAGGTGAAGTACCTGTTTCCCTGTACGTGGTGACACACTCTGCCTGTTGTCTCTGGTTCTCCTGACAGGTGGTTTAACAGCTGTGATTTACACGGACGTGCTGCAGACCGTGATCATGGTGCTGGGAGCTTTGGTCCTCATGTTCATAGGTAAGGGTTTAATGGTCCCAAGGCCATCAGACCTTAGCAGGGTGCCTCACCCTTTCATGTGTGGTGCAGAAATGAGTTTTAACCACGCACAGAAGTGGTGCCAGCACAGCTCTTATCCTCCGAGTCATCAGGCTTGCTTCATCCTTTGCACTAACGGTATGGAGGTGAGGCTCTGGATAACTTCACCTCACTGGAGTTGCCAAAGAGCTTTGAAACATCACATTCTCAGAGCCAAATTCAGCTCTCATTAAGCTCATGTCAGTTCAGAGTAATCCTGCTGACTTTCACTGTTGACTTTGGGAGTTACTGTGGATTCATGTGGGCGTAACTGAGCACTGTAAAAAAATAAAGAGCAACAAGGGACTGACCATCATCAGTCTTTGCTTTAAACCTCCTTGGCAATCAGAAACATAGGTATATCTTTTTTCATGTCATACCTTGCTGCTCTAGCTCTTAGACGGTGTCTGAGTGCAGACTAGATGCTGAGAACATTGTGAGGATTAGGATCATGGAGATTTTCCAGCATTGATCCTCTTCCAGGATGCACTATTTAAACCACAAGGACTCTGGGCAAAATCCAACTGACTTCTGTAGAAACCTTGACTGCCAAAAGCAAGGGTGGAATGAAAAGAAAGGAGATAAGAGGAAGATAAGAGAAAAGTAATCACGAGACTCAGATAAGATAATAACTTTGCAGGATGTACCAGCCCTTAAATCACTGGCATTTTCTTTTCAGGATTTGAGAAAGTTGGCTGGTATGAAGGACTTCAGGAGAAATACAGCACAGCAATACCAAAGATCACAGTCCCAAACACGACCTGTCACCTCCCACGTGCAGATGCCTTTCATTTGTTCAGGGATCCCATCACAGGAGACATTCCTTGGCCAGGCCTTATATTTGGTCTCTCTGTGCTGGCTCTTTGGTGCTGGTGCACTGACCAGGTAAGGAAAGTCTTTCCCTTAGCAGATGAACCACCATGCTGTTACTGTCAGCCCAGTCCTCAGTTTGTGGATCTGTGAGCTGAAAAATTACCTGTGTCTCATTGAGCAGGAGTTAGTACCATTTTACTGGTCTAGACCAGAATACCTCCCTCCTTCCGCCTTCTCAGCAAGCTGCTAACTTTGTGCACTTCTTAATGCAGTGAGAACAGGTTATTTTCTCCTGTCTTTATCCCACTGTGGTCTGGTGAGTACTGGGAGTCTTCATGCAGTTAGCATGACAAGGGTATAAAAATGTGGGTCTGGAACTGGCTCTGCAGTGACCTTGTGTAGACCTCCAGACAAGCCATTCATATTCCCAGATGTCTCATGTCTCTTATTCCTTTTCAAGCCACAAACAAGGAAATCTGTACGTGTTTCTCAAGACACACTGCTTCTGTACTTCAGGATGGGATAATTATGAAACCCCACCACTGAGCTTTCACCAAATCACCTACAGTCTGCTTCATTCCGTGTCTCTTGCTGCTATACAGCTGCTGTCTCCAGCCCTCAAGGTGGCTTCATTTCAGTCAAGGGCAAAATTATTCCTGTAAAGGAAATTTCCACGCTGCCCTCTCCTGTAGCCTGTGCTCTGAGCTTGGAGCAGTGGCAGCAGGCTGCAGTCAACTGAGGTGGGAAAGTTGCCATTGGCATGCGAAACATCCTGGGATCCTGTCGGATGAAAGTCATCCATGAGAAGGAGAGACGGAGAGAGGATGGATCCTGCTCTCTCTCTGTTGTGCTTCCTTTTTACTCTCTGTTCCATTTCTGCACTGATTGCAGGTGATAGTCCAGAGGTCTCTCTCTGCCAAGAACCTTTCCCATGCCAAAGGTGGATCGGTGTTGGGAGGATATCTGAAAATCTTCCCTATGTTCTTCCTTGTCATGCCAGGAATGATCAGCAGAGCTCTTTACCCAGGTAAGTCTTCCCGTGTTCCTTGCCACAGGGGTTCATATCTACCAGGACCACTAATCCCACACAGGTCTGCCAGCACTTTTACATCTTAGGAACTGCTGTCCTGCAGATGTGCTCATATAGATTCCTGTTGTACCCTAGTGTTCCCACGCCCTTCCTCCGCCTCCAGTTCTCCCACAGTGGCAGAAGTCTTTGGGAGTATCCATATGGGGCATATTTTCCATTGGGGCCATATAGCTCCATCCCTGTGGACCTTGCATCCATCTGTCTGAGGAAATCAGTGAAATGAAATGAAATACATGGAGCACTGAGGGCTGTCCTTCAGGTCCTATGGAAATACATTCATTAGGTATTTTGGAGAGTTTTAACAATCTACCACACAGATTCATTCAATTCCTTGTGGATTATACAAAAGAGTGCTCTTGTCTCCCAAGGAACTCTCATTGCTGGTTTCTCCAGAGCATGCCTATTCCCAGGAAGAATACCTTGGTTAGGAGGACCAGTCTTGGAGGAAAGTGCTTATCTCCCAGGTTTCCTGAATAGGATTTAGTCAGCCTGCAACATCCCTGGGAACCCAGCTGACAGGTTCATGGAAACAATCCAGTTCCCACAAATGACAAATCATGAAGGATTACAATTATGCAACATCCAGGAGAGTTTTATCTGTGCCCTGAACAGAATTGCAAAATGTCATCTCAAAGCTTTGCCTTTATTATAGGATGTAAAATATTGTTCAGCTCCCCTCATTGTAGCTGCATTCCAGCTGCACTTCTGAATTTATATGAAACCATTCAAAGCATTTAGATTTGTTCCCTTTAACTAAACAACCTGTAGCTCAGTGGGGTTTACACTGACTTCTTGTTGTTTCCCTGTCTTCTACAGATGAAGTGGGCTGCGTGGACCCAGACATCTGTAAAAGGGTTTGTGGAGCTGCAGTGGGTTGTTCCAACATTGCCTACCCCAAACTGGTGATTGAACTCATGCCTGATGGTAAGAAACACACCTGGGGAGGTGGCCATGAGCTTTGCACGAGGGGACCAGACTGCCCTTATCAATCCCAAGGATGTGGAAATCTTACTGCAGTTGCCAGACATTGGGATGAAAAAACCAGTGCTCAGGGGCCCACGGTCTAGTGCTGATTTTCCTTCCCTCGTTTGCTCCCCCAGGGCTCCGAGGTTTGATGATTGCAGTGATGATGGCAGCCTTGATGAGTTCCCTCACCTCCATTTTCAACAGCAGCAGCACTCTCTTCGTTATAGACATCTGGCAGCGGATCCGCAGACAGGCTTCAGAGCAGGAGCTGATGATTGTGGGCAGGTCCTTACATTTATTTATGTCTCGTTCCTCTCATCATCTGTTTTGAGTGCAGCATTTAAATTCTTCAGGCTGGACTCACTGAGAAAAATCTGGTGCCTATAATACAGAGCGGGAACACAGCTTGGGAAAGAGCGTTATGCTTTCCAGGTTCATCTTGGATAGACCTGGTCAGAGAGAAACACTGAGTGTATCACTGAGCTGGGTAGACCATTAGCTCTGTCTTCTCTAAACTTATTATAAATACTGCTTTAAATGTAGCTTTTAGAAAAGCCAAAGGTGCTCTGGGGTCATTAACACCAGACGTCTTTAATAGCATACTATTTTTGCATCAGACAGGAGTGATACATTGCAATTACTCCTGTTTTGTTTTGGGTTTTTTTTCAGGGAAAAGTGCAAAGCTGATTCTCCCAGCTCTATCTCTTGTTCAGCAATATGGATAAACCTCTGTAACATACAGTGCAAAGGTGAAAGTGTTATAATATGCACCTGAGACCCAAACCCAATTTTAATAACAAGAGACTGAGCATATTAACTGCTTGGAAAGGTGGCAGAAAGATTGTTTCCACAAGCTTCCAGCTCCTTATCTCTGTCTCATCCAAGAGCGAGGTCACTGAAGATCATTTCTCACTCTAGCACACACCAGGCTGAAGGTCTGGTTGTGGATCCACTGCTGTTGTGGATCTCTCCTGCATGTCGACTGGCAGGTCTTAGCACAGCTCACTCTCAAGACTGTGAAGTTACCTTTGGGAATGAGTTGAATTACTTTCTAGAAGAGAACAATTTTCTCTTTTCCTGTGTACACAAGGAAAGGTTCCTGAGAGTGACCTTTGGGTTTTTTCTTAGGAAATCCTGAGAATAACTGGGAGTCTGTTTTGCTGCAAAACTTCATTTTCAGGTGGACTCCACCACCTGCAGAGCTAACACAGTTTTATCATCATCTTTCAGAGTGTTTATCCTCATTCTTGTGGTCATCAGTATTCTCTGGATCCCAATCATTCAATCAGCCAACAGTGGAAAGCTCTTTGACTACATTCAGTCCATAACCAGCTATCTGGCCCCACCCATCACAGCTCTCTTCATCCTGGCAATCTTCTGCAAGAGGATTAATGAGCCTGTAAGTGAAATGTCAACAACCAATTGATATGTGTATTTAATTTGATAAAATAAGTAAATATCTCTCCTCTCAGCACTTAGCCTTTGAGACTCTTTAAACTCAGAGCCAGTCCTGCTAAAGTGTGACAATGAGGCAGCCTTTCCCTGGCTGGTGTGTTAGTGAATCTTAGCCCAGACTCTAGTGTGTGTGTGTTTGCTTCCAAGAAGTCACTGCAAGTGGCACTTCTTGGCAGTCTCATTTGAAAGCATGAAAAAGAGGTTGTTCTGCAATTTAGGGATGATGTGTTAAAGTCTAGTTAGAGAAATAGTTAGGAGGAGATTCTTGCACTGTTCGTGCTCTATCTGTCCCACATTCAAACACAGAGAGAGAAAATGAGGATTTTTAACTGAAAAAAAATCCCCCTTTGCTGCATGTCAGTGTGGATTTCCACCAGGCATGAAAAATCTTAGGAGAGGAGAAGGAAAACTACAACCAAAGGTAACATGCAGTGACTTTTTCTTTGTGCTTGCTTTTCTCAGGGTGCTTTCTGGGGCCTCATGGTTGGGCTGGCTGTTGGTCTGGTTCGGATGATCATCGAGTTTATTTATAGCACACCGTCCTGTGGTGAGGAGGACAGAAGACCAGCTGTGCTAAAGGACTTGCACTACCTCTACTTTGCCCTCATCCTCTGTGTCCTCTCTGCGATTGTCATCGTCCTTATTAGTGTCTGCACCCCACCGATCCCTGAAGAAAAGGTAAGTGACTTGCAGTGACACCCTTTTCTCAGAGCCCCCCTTTGGTTACCAAAAATCTCTGAAATCTGCCCTTTTCTTTTCCTCCCATGGTTAAGAAATGGTGTGTAATGCATATGCTGCCAAGAAGCCCTTGCTCCTCAGCTTTCTATTCCCCAGGTCGCATAGTGTTAATGCTTCTGGGGCACTGAGTGCTTCAAATTGAGTGTGAGTTCCCATGCTGTGCCTGGAGCTGGGCAGACACCACAGCCCATCATAACTGGAATAGAAAGAAAAGAAGAAAGGGAAGGAGATGAAATTATATTACAGAGCACTGCTGAGGAGGAATTAAATATATCTAATTGTAGCATCTAGCCTGTTTCAGCAGAGCCAGCATCAATCATGCAGGCAAACAAGATTAATATCTTTTGCAACATGGGCATTTAGGAAAATAACATTTTGTCCCAATGTGATCTCAATTAAATTTAATAACTTTGAGTGAAGCATAACTTTCTTTTACTTAGCACATTAAAATGGTGCAGAGTTGGGAGGTTTTATATAATAAGACCTTAAAGCAACTCTTTCCAGTCCCAAGTTTTAAAGCAGCTGCCAATATAACAAAACTGCCATCCACTTCTAAGCAAAGGTTACTGGATCGATTTAAAAGACCTATTTTTTCCTGTCTAACTGCATGCATTTTCTATCTGTTGCTTCCTCATAACCTGTAAAGCATTAACCAGTTCCATCAATGTTTGATGGGAATGTTAGTGGTGTCAAAGACACCCCTCTCCTAAAGATTACATGAAAGCAGGTGCTCAGATAGAGGAGACGAGGGGAGAGAGAGAGTCTTTGTGTCTGCTTCGAGATAAACTCTCAGCTTTTATTAGCTATCAGAGGATCCACATGGGAGAGAGAAATACTGGCAAGGAGGCAGCATTAGTTCTGCCGCTTATGTTGTTCACTACTGCTCAGGGGTGGCCAGATGGTTGCCAGCAATTAATTACTGTGGTTTAATGAGTTCCCACTCATCATCTGACCTGTGATAACTAAACATGTGCAGTGCTCCCTGCCCACAGCAATAGCAAGATAAGATGCATTAACACAGCACTGGCGAATAGGGAGCATCACACTGACAGTCTGGGAAATGAAGAAACTGGCCACAGCACCTACAGGATTTTTGCTGTGACCTCAGAGGTATGAAAACATTTACAGCATCTTTCAGGAGGGGCAGTTCAGGATGAAGGCCTACTATAATAGAATTAGGGAAAGAGAGGTTATGATCATAAGAGATTCCTCGGCAGATGTTTTCAGTGGTATTTCTACTGAAATGTGAGTTTACAGGTGCTGGATATGAGGCACCTTATTTGAAATATCCTTCAAAGAATCAAAAAGGTCAGGGAGGACAGGATTTTGTCTGAAATGGCTGTGTGCAGCCATCCCAGAGGAACAAAGGATGAGAGGGGTGGTGGCTGGCCTCCCAGGCACATCTGGAGAGCCAGGGGGAGAGGAGAGCTTGCTAAAGAGAACAGTCAAAGTGAAGGTGTGGGGTTTAAGCTGAGGTAGGAGACAGTGTTACTGCCTGTCTGGCAGGAATCTGAGTGGCTAGCACTAAGATCAGCTTTTTTTATTTTTCTCAGTCAGACTCACCCCAGACATGAGTGCAGGTGTAGGTTTGGACTGTCACTACTGGTGGGGTGGTTTCTCATGGTGCCCTGCAAGCAGGGCTTGTCTCCTCATCTCCAGTGAGTCTGTGGCTGTGCTGAGGTGGCTCAAGGACAGAAGGAAAGGCAGGAGGTAGAAATCAGAGTGGACGTGTCCAGCTCCAACTCTCTGGATAGAAACTGTCACTGGCCTTCGTGTTTGGCCATTATTTTCCTCGAGTTGCTGGGGTTTGGCATGGAAGTGGGCAATCCTTTGGGGAAGAGCCTGTATGTCCCCCTGATGGGCTGGTAGTGGGTGTCCTGGGTGAGGATATCTGAAGTGCCAGTGCTTCCCAGTCCCCTGTGTTAGCCAGTTCCCTTTGTGAGCCTCGGATATTTCTCCCATAAGGATCGCACAGGGCTAGTCCTGCTAGTTCTTAACCGCAGTGCTTTGAGATGGAATGATGGAAGACATGGTATAGGAGCTAGGAATTGTGTCATTTGTTTTGTCAAGCAAAAAGAAAAGAAAAACAAGCCAAAAAGACAAAGCCAAGGAAATACAGTGATAGATCATACCTCAGCAGATGTAAATCAGCACAGCTCCATTGCCTTCAAAGAACGGGAACAGCTGTTGAGCACAGTTATGTCGCTTTACACCGGCTGAGGATCTACACTGGACAACTTTAAATATTGAATCTCAATGCTTTTGAGATGGTAAATGGGCAAAAGGAGAAAAGAGATTTGTATCTGATGTTTTAGTGGTACAGCTAATGTTCCTGGCTTTAAATGAATTACAATCTGAGAACTGCAAGCTGTAGCATTTTCTCCTGCTGTTTTGGACGTTCTCCCATCCCTGTGGTGATTGATACTGTGCTGGAAAACAAGTATGCAAGGAATTTGTTTGGTATGCTCCAGAGTTCATATGTCTTCATTGTAGGTAGTCCATATTGTGTCACGCTGTCCTTGAAAACCCTGCAAAAGAGCTTACAATTAAATTTGAGACTGTGAAGCTGAAACACAACTGTCAGGTGCCAGATGGCATTTTGGAACAGAAGGATTTATTCTAGTTTACAAACAACAAAAGAAAAACTTTGCTGAGTTCTTGCAAACTCCTTTATCCAAGGAGACTGTGAGGGTGAAAAGGAACAGCCCACAAAGCACAAATGCCAGACCAGCAGGTCAACTCCCCAGGTGTCAGGGCTCACCCAGACAGGCTGATGGATTGGCAATTCCACCTGATGTACTCTGGGGTTGGATTGTTTTCCCTGTGTCTTGAGGTCTGGCTTCAGTAGCTCCTTTTGGTGCATAGCTGAGGAGGAGCACCAAGCCCCCTTTGGCTGGCTTGACCTCACCCTGTGCACTCTGAGGTGCTGCAGCTGAAGCTCCCACAGCATCATTTAGTGCCACTGAGAGCCAAACTCACTCAGCTCCTGTGGGAACCAGGTACTCACAGAGCAGCAAACTAAGGAGGGGACACAGGGCTTCCCAGGCAGTGTCCACACAAGGCTCTGCAGTTGGGAGCAGAGCCACAGGGCTCCCCAGGACCCACCAAGCTGCTCCTTCCCACTCCCCTGCCCTTGGGCATGGTGGCCTCAGGCAGCATTTCCAAGGTCCAAGCCAGTTATGCTGACACAGCTCCCCTCTCAGCAATTCTTACTTATGCTTTTGCTTGCTTTCTTCAGGCACGCAAAACACCATCATCTGACTCCCCCATCCCATCCCTTTGGAAGTCTGTGCCAGGGAAGCACAGCCAGCCCTGTGGAGGCCTCCATGGCCACACAGACCTGCTGCTCTGCCCTGCACGTGTCCTTCTAGCAGTGGCAAAGAGGAGAAAGAGGGATCTCAAGGAATATCAGTCAGCCAAAACCCACCACAAGGGAGCTTAAAGCTGGAGTGTTGATGAGGTGCTTCACCAGGGAGCTCTCTAAGGTGGTGGTTTGCTTTGTTTGGCCATAATCGATGCACCAGCTCCTGGGTGGGTCAGTGGGATGATGTGTCATGAGGTTACCTGTGTGCCTATGCTGATTTCCCTTAAGAATTGCTTCCATCTGGTGGAGTCTGAGCCCCAAGTACACCCCAGCCCTGCCAGATTTTGCTGCAGTGTAAAGGGAGAGCAATTCAGTGATGTGAGGGAAGAGAAGAGAAAAGAAAAAGTTTTGGAAATCCTTTAGTACCCTGAAACTTTGCAATGTTCCAGTGACATTTCCCAAGTGATTAAAAAAAAAAAATCCCTGAGAAAGATGAGGATCATCAAATCAAAGCAATTTAGCACATCATGACAAGAAAGATTAGCCCTGCCCAGTGCTCATCTTGGTTGAAAATGATTTAAATAAAGCTATAAATCTTCTGGAAATTATGCAACATTTTGTGTCAGCTGGAAACTCCTGCCTAGATCTGTGTGTGTAAAATTCAAAGATTAAACTCACGCTGCTTTGGAAGTGACCCATTTGAGACGTTCATTTCCATGTGGGCAGGGCAGGGAGGCAGCTGCTGCTCAGGCACACGTGTGACTTTGCCTGACCCGTTGTCACCACTGCCCCAGTGCCATCCTGCACCTCTCTGCCAGGCAGCTGTGGGTGGAACAGGAGGACAGGCCCGTGGGCAGCTGTGTTTGAGAGGGATTGATGAGCGTGGTCCTTACTGCCTGGCCTGGCCAGAGCAGGCAGGGGTTGGGAAGTGCTGATGCCCCCAACCTCCTTGGTGTGCTGTGGTGAGCCAAAGCAGCCACAGGCCTGGCTTAAATCCAAAGTCCTGAGCCCCTGGGGCGGGTAACTCCACCCCACAGCTGCTAGAGGACCAGTGAGAGGTTTGCAAAATTGATGCCTCCTGTGCACTCCCTGCGTGCACTCCTGGGGAGGAGAATACTTTCAGACTTGCTCTGGGATGAGAGTTTCAGACCTTTTTGCATTTGTAAAGCAGAGGAGGTTGCAGCCACAGCAGCCTGCCCAGGACTGATTGTCCTCTGTGGCTTTGGATGGTTCTTTCACTGAAAGACTTCAGAGAGAGGTAATATCTTGTATTGGCCCAATTCTAGAAGTCTAGAATTGAAAACAAAATCTTCTAATGGTACAACTGCTGTCTGTGACTGTTACCAGAGAGATATCTTGGCTTATTTTTTTAATTGTTATTTGATTGATTTTTACCCCTTCCCACTGGAGGGCTGCCATTCAGGATGCAGATCATCATTATTTCATGTCAATCATGTGAGACTAATAAAGAGGAAGCTGCTTCTTCAATGTCTACTAAAAGGTTACTCCTGATAGAGACAGGGATGGAACAGGTTATTTAAAAAAATAGAAGGAAAGAAACTAGATTAATTCACACTTTTCCTCGGCTTTTTCATTCTGTTTGGATGGCACCACCTGTGCAGAAGGGAGGTGAGGGACAGTGGGAGATCACCCCAAACAGTTCTCTCAGCACCATCTTGGACCTGTGCTCCCCAAAGAGGGAGGTGACTGTCGTGACACTTTGGGACTGACAGGCAATAACTTGTTTGTTCTCTGTCCCACTTTGCAGCTCTCATGCCTGACCTGGTGGACCAGACACAGAAAAGCACCTGCCATTGACCTGAAAAACTGCAAGAGTGAGGCAGCACAGATCAATTCAGCCAATGGAGAGAGCGACTTGGTCGACAGTGCAGAGTCAGGCAACAAGGAGGAGACAGGTAGGGTGATTGTCTGTGAACAGACACGCTCATGTGCATGTGAGGGCACAGCCAGGACCTCATGCAAGTCCCTAAAGCTCATGAGAGGCCACCTGTTGCATTTACTGGAGTCTGGGCTTGTATTTACAGGTACACCAGTTATAAGAATGTGACAAATGAAAATGTTGTGGTTCTTGGTCCTCCCAACATCACTTTGTGTTACAATTCTCTAAATGGTTCAGAAGAGCTGCCGAAAAAAAAAAAAGAAAACCCACCACTCAGTGAAGTGCTTTCCCTCCTCCTCCCTAGAACAAATGCAAACTACCCTGGTCCAGTTCTGCCCAAGTCACAGGCTGATTTTAGCACTTCAGGCCTGGACACTCAGTTGTTTGCTGGACTCCTTAGATGAGTTTAATGGGCACTTGGGAACATCCCTTGGGAGGGTGGAGGTCTGTGCTGCAGGGACGCTGCCCCTCAGCCCACTGACACTGGGGCTTTGTGCCATGACACTGCATCAATTTGTGTGCTTCACCAAGATGCCCCTGAGCTCCACAGCACCACTGCAGCCTTAGCCAAAGCAAGCAGCTGCCACCAGCGCTATGGAAGTCGTGGCAGGCTCTGTAATTGCAACTTTCAGCATGTGAAAGTGGCATCCCTTCCTGTCCTCGTCATTGCTAGGACCAAACTTACCCAGTGATGCTGCCACAAACTGTGTCAAAATAACACAGGGGACTGTGAGACCCAGGGAGCAGACCTGTGCACTTTGTGGACGTTTACAAGCCTCAGTTCTCTCTTTTACATAATGCCAACAGTATCTTTCATCTTCTTTTAGGATATGAGGCATGGTTAAAACTCAGAGCTTAAATAGCTGTGTGTCCTGCCAAGGGTATCTAATAAAAAAGAAAGTGAAGGGTCAAATGAACTTAAGGAGTTGTCAGGAGATAGAACAGTAGCAGCAGATGCTACATAGGCAAGTTCTTTTCAGAGTGGACAGAGCTTTATTCTGTGAATCTATTAAAAAATGCAGCTTTCTGGTTTTCAGCTTAACCTTCAAAGGTTACAGAGCAGAAACCTCAGAATAAAGGCACACACGAGATTTCTTCACTCCTTCCTTTTGCTGGTCAGTCCAAAGGACACTGGTACCAATTACAGTCAAGCCAAACAGAAGAGTACAACTAAAGAAATCTCTTAATTTTTTTTTTTTACCAGTAGAATAAGTTTTGAGTTGACTGCAGTCATTCAGCATTATTTATTAGTTCTTATCAATTCCTATTTCACTTAACTAGCTCAGATTTTTATAAACAAGTGTCTTGGTATTTTGGTAATTAGTAATGATGGGGAAGGAAATGCGAAATACAGCAGTTGACAGTTTAATGAGTTTTTTTTCAGGGTAACACCTTTTTTCAAGGCCCTATGACATCCTGCATTTCAAAAAAAGGTTATATTTGGAAAGAACAGCCACTGAAATACACACAGCACCGGGCTGACAATTAAAACACACACTTCACTTGGCATGCCATGTGTAATAAACAAGCCAGGATATCTCTAAATGGACCATCATGCTGTCAGGAATTTTTGAAAGTGGATGGAAGCTGGGCTGGGGAGGAGGGGGAAGAAGTCTCTTAATTAACTAATGAGTGATTGGTGTTGCAATCAACTGACTGTAATCAGGCTGTGCTGTACATGGTTGAGGGATAAGTTTCCCTTTCCCTTTCCCATTCCCATCATGATATTACATGTCCTACCCCAGGTGCCTCTCAAACCCCACCGCAGATTGGCTAATGCACCTCCAAACTAGTGGGAAAAGGGAGGGAAAGTTCCAGTAGGTTCTAACACCCATTTTTTGGTCTATCTCTCGCAGCAGCCAAGCCTCCCTGCTGGAAAATGTTGTATTTGTGGTTCTGTGGTCTGTCCACCAGCCCCACGCCCACCCTGTCCCAGGAGGAGAGAGCTGCCCTGGAGCAGAGACTCACCAGCATTGAGGAAAAGCCCCTGTGGAAGACTGTTTGCAATGCCAATGCTGTTCTCCTGCTGGCCATTAATGTCTTCCTGTGGGCATATTTTGGCTGAGGTGGGGTCAGGAAACATGTGGCTTTGGTTTCTCTCACCTCCCTGTCTAAGCTGGAAGCATCAGATGACAGAGTCCCTGGTGATGGTCCCTGGAGGCACCCACTGGCACTCTTTGCCTTCCCTGGAGGCACTGCTTGGTGGGAATGACTGCGGGGCTCAGTTTTCCCATAGGGTGAGACAAAGACTCAACATCAGTCACGTCTGGGATGTGGGCCAAGTCTGGAGGTCTGGGGTCAAGTTGAAAGGTGCAAAGTCAAGCCCAGCAAGGAGCAAAGGCTTTGGAAAGCCCAGCTATGGCTGGGTTCTCTCTCAGGGCTGACTTTGCACCGATGCATTTAGGGGAAGGACTTCTGGTTTACCCTGGTGTGCAGAAGGAGACTTAAACACACTCTGCAGCTTTTTTATATGGGTAAAATTCAAATAGGGTCAGTGGGGACCACTGGATTAGCTCAGCAGTGTCAACCTTGGCTCCCCAGCCACCCCAGGATCTGTGTTGGACCCCTTCCACCCCACCCCTCCTGCCTTGCTGGCATCAGCAGTGGGAACAGGGAGCTTCTTCCTGCTTCCCGAGCCCCCTATCCTCCCCACTCTGCTGTGTGACAGTGGGTCTCACAACAGCCCCAGCCTGTTTGCTCATCAGGCTGATGCTGCCCCTTGACAGCATTACCAGCAATAAAGGTGCCTTAGTAACCAAGCCAATCCTGACTTTGGGTTATTGTGGTGATCTGTCCTGCACTGACACACAAAGGGCTCCCTGGGACCGCGGTGACCCGGCTGTCTCAGGGAAAAGAAATATCCTTCCCTGGGACCTGATCCAGGGCCTCGCTTTCTTGAGCAAGTCCAGGCTTCTGTGACCCATCCTGGTGCCACACGTGGCATGTGGCACAGCCATAATCTTTTAAACCATGGAGAGACAGCAATAACCCCTGTTAATATCTGTGCCTGGTAGTTAGGGTGCTCACCTGGAGAAGGCTAAAAATGCCCACAGGCATGTGATCCTGCAATCCAGCATCCGAGGGACACATCCAGGTCACCAGGCATGGGCTGTGCAGGGAGGAGAAAATGAGTCATGATTCATCAAGGAGAGAAGAAAGAAGGCTCTGTTTCCACCTGGCTCAGGAAGCCCAGGTCATGGTTCCACGGCTTGTCCTCAGTTTGGATGGAGGAGACTGAACTGGCCATGCAGGATGAGGTCTGTGCTGGCTTTATGCAGGTCAGTATAAGCATTTGCTCATTCTAAGAGGAAAAAGTAGATTTCCCTTGAACAAGGGAGATCTCAGCCCCATCGGTTGCCCACCCATCCCTGGGTAAGAGGAATACAACACAGAATTTGTTCTGCCTTTCCATTCTTCGGTTTCAAGCAGGTAGTGCCCGGATCAGAGGGGGCCTCAAAACATTTAGAGGAAATCAAGTTACCAGCTGTGATTAAGAGCTGGTAAATGTCTAATAATAACAGGTACGTTTTTAGTGCATTTAGAAATATCGGGGCTCTCCCCTCCTTGCCTAGAGCCACGAGGTGCCGAGTGCTCCTGAGCCACAGAGACCCTCAGTAGCACTTGGCTCCATGGCCTTATTGGCTTTTTTTGGCCACACATCTGCTAAAGCCATGGGGAAAGCAATGCAGGACAGGATGAGCAAAACTGGGGCATTTTTTTTAAACACTTGAGATTATTTTTTTTCCCCCAAGTTCAGTTTTGCAGAGAATAGAACTGAATTTGACTAAGTTTTTTGGGGTTTTTTGGTGTGGGTTTTTTTTTTAATGGCACAAACATTTTTGATCTTTGGTTATATGATGTTGATTTCTTCCCTTCCCCATCTCACCTCCTGGGCCCTGGAAGATGAAGTTTCCTTTAAAATGCTGATGTCTATGTCAGTTAAAGTAATGTTGCCTGAGAGCTGTGACTGCATCTCTGAGCTTGGCCCTGAGAAGGAATGGAGACATCCGCACTGCCAGATGCAGCCAGCTGTGCACCCCACAGGAGGAACACATTTCATTGGTAAGTTTATTTGACTTACTGCTCTGCTTTGAACCACTGAAGTGAAACAAAAGGAAAAAGAATGATTGGGGAGGGGGAGTCTGAAATGTTTCACTGAAATAAACCAAAGCTGTCTCAAAAACGTCCTGACCTTTCCTTGTATTTTCAAGGAAAACAACGTAATTAGCTGAAAAAAAAATTTAAAACGAAATAAAAAAGGCCTATAAAAGAAAAAAATATTTTTCCTCCTGGTTGAATATTGAGGATGGGATGAGTTTCCTTCTCGTGTTATTCTTCATTTCAGCCTCTCTGCTCTTCCAGAGCCGGGGCTTCGGCGATGGCGGGCTCATCCGACGGCGGATGCGGCGTCGGCATTGGGATCCCAGTGAGGCTTTCCTGGGGAGCAGGCTGTCATCGCCCCGGGAGCACCGAGCAGCTCCTCACAGCACGGGATGAATTGCAGCAGCCTAACAAGAACACATCGCTCTCAGGGCTGCAACCAATATACGAGTCCATTGGCAGCAGATGTTATTAATGACGCCAATACATATTTTCTTATTAATCTTCCATACTAGGCTCGTGTCTATCTGCAAATGATTATCATTCATTTTCCTGACAAATCTATCAAGATCATTTATTACTGTTCGGCAAAGGATCTTCTTTTAAACAAAGATTAATAACATTGCACTTTATCTGGCTGGCTGAGCCAAAGGAAATGAAATTAACAATGAACCCTACAAACATGTCATCACTTTAATTTACCGGAAAATATTTTAAAATGTTATTTAAAACAATATACGCTGTGGTAGGCACAGTTTATTACAAAGGAAAGAAGTGAAACCACATGCATTTTAGCAGGGTGGAGAGTAAACAAACAGGGCACTATGTTTTCTCTGGTTCCTCGCACTCGAGTTCTGGGCCAAGGAAGGAGCAGCACCCACAGGCTTCCTGCCATGCACAGATGGGCACCTGCCCGGGTGAATTGCAGCTGGAAGTCACTGTTTCTTGGCTAAAGTGGCTCCTAACCAGGATCACAAGCTCTCATCCCTGCAGGGAGCACTGCCCTCCCTGCGTTCCTAAAAAGGGGAACTTCATCAGGGTAAAGCTGGTGGGGAGAGGAGGGCACATGTGGGCTGACAGAGTACCAGCACCCTTCTGCATTTTTGGTCCCTTAGGAGGAAAAGAAACAAACTCATTAAATTTACATGTTTTAGTTACCTTTCTTCTTCACTCTCTTCTTACTGTCCCTTCCCTTCATTTGAGCATAGTAGTAGTAATAATAATAATAATAATAATAATAATAATACCAAAGAACCTATCAGAATCCCTTTCCTAGTTTTACTGCAAATAGTAATGCAAAAAGTTAATATCAGCTTTGCTTTTGCATTACTTTATTTATACCCATGAAGTTATATTCTGAGCCCTATTTTTGTGCAGATACTCACCACTGTCTCTCCACAGGCCTTTTCCCATATGCCTGGCTCTGGGCTGTGTCACCTCTGGCAATGGGAAATTACTGCTCTTCCCTGCCATGGGAGAAGGAGAAGGTTGCTTAAAACTATTTTGAATTACGTAGCCAAGAAGCATTTCTCCTAGAGGTGAAAAAGTCAACTTCCTACCTTCATTGGACTCATTTTATCTTACCCAGATACCAGGTTGGGAGCAGTGTTTCTAAACCCCAGACAAAGAAAAATAACCCTGCTAACCTCACACTGGAGAAGTTTCAAAATGCTGATATATCAGCAAGGGGATTTCCAAGTGTGCATTTGTGTATTTCTGCAGAGCAGCAAAACCACATGTACTAAACTGGCTGGTTTAACCACATATTTCATTGCTACATAACAAAGTATCCTGGATTTCTTTTGTAATTAAAAAGTCATCAGTGTAGCACAGGTCTTGAAAAATTTATGACAAATAAGACAAACCTGAATATACCCCAAAGCAGGGTTTGGCTTCTCTGCAGATTAAAAGGAAATGAGTTAATAAGAGAAGAGGGATGCCCCTCTGTTAAAACTGGAGCTGTATCTCCAGTGACTTTGGGGACACTCTGTAGTTTGATTTGAGAGATCAGGCTGCACATGTCCAGGCCATACATACCAAAGCAGAACCAGACTCCAAACTTCTAAAAGGTCTAATCTGCTACTTTTACCTGGCATTTACTGGTAGAATTCGTGATGTTTGACTGAGCTATAACTACAGTGCACGTGGCAGAACATCTCTGCCTCTTTCTTTATTAAGTTACCAGTTCAGCCACCTCCTTTTTAGCATCATTGTAAATCCTGGTACAAAGACTGCAAGCTAAGAAGAAATGAGTTTCTGGCTAAGGTGTCCTAAAAGCTAAATACTCATTACATGAAAGAAAAAAGGATCTGCACCTTACTTCTGCTGTGACTGCATTCTGCTCCAGCTTTCAGCTGCTGGATTTCATCAAGCCCCTTCTGTTCATGAAGCACTTGTCTGTTATGAACTTAACACCACATAAATAAAAATCACAGACAGTGCATGCAGAGAAATAGGGCTTTATAATCATGGAAAGGCAAAAAAGGGGATAAAGCCAAAAGGAAGTGGCAAAGGACAAAATGGAGTGAATGCAAAAACCAAATTCAAGCCTCTCCTCTCACAGTCCTCTACATACATTTAATGAGGTACATTTATTTTCCTCATTTCAGACTAATGCCAGCATAATGTGGGAGGTCCCATCCAACCTCCAGGATTCCCCAAAGTCAGGGGAACATTCTTTCTTTTATTTTCCTTGAAGAGTAAGAGCAATATACAGCGTGCTGTGAGGGCAACACAAGGAGCAAGAGATGAAAGTGATTTTTTTTCAGCACAGGTATAATGTTGGTATCACAGCAATTTGAGATTTCTGTACAACCTCCTCTGAAGCAGCTGAACATGAGAGAAGAGGCCAGTTGCTGAGCTCCTGCCCTGACACTGTGTTGGCACTGTGTTGGCACTGGGCACTCTTCGGAGTCTGGTCAGGTCTGAAGTCCTTCAAGGGGAGCAGGGAGGACTGTGGACATCCAATGGCTCTTTGATTCCTGACCTGGGATCCCATATCATTCCTGAAGCCACCTTCTCCCTTTGTCTCAAAAGCAATTTCCAACACCCCTGTGTGTCCATCTCCATCACAGCACAGGGGGGATGTGATTTAAGCACGTGCCATCTGGCCACAGGCAGGCATCGAGGTATCTGTGTGCCATTCCAGCACAGCCCAAGATTCCATCAGCAAAAGCTGGAATACCATGCAGTGCAGTATTACAGATCAGCTGTCCAAGCAGGACCAGATGGCACCACCATGCCAAGGACAACAAACAGTTATTAAGTTGTCAGACTCTGAACCAAAGTCAGCCTGAGCTGCCGAGTTCGTGCCATTTCTGTGCACGATTCCCAGGAACAAGTTGTCCCAAAAGACACTGCAGAAAGGCTCCTGGAGAGGACACTTGAACAACTCTCTGTGGGCCACAGGGTGTCCCTCGAGGAGCCCCAGCGCCACAGGAGCTGGGCTGACAGCACTTGGGATTTTATACTGGGATGGGGATCACCAGGGACAATTCCCCTGCCACTCTGATTTAGAGGAACCCAGGAGGCTTTATTGCTGAGTGTGTGTGGGAAGGACCAGCGTAACCATTTTAAGAAACCTGTAATTATTGCTGCATTTGTTCAAAACAGGAATGTTGTTCAGAACATTCAGCTGTGACTCGCTCCTGTAGTTCCACAAATGCAGCATTCAGTTTAATATGTGAGACTCATAACCAGCTCACACAGTGCAATAGTTCACTTCGGTTTGAAGAAAAAAAAATTCTGCTGGAAGCACAGGCAAGTAGCAGTGTCAATTTTTCATTAACCTACAGCCACTGTCTCTGTAGACTTACAGCTATAAGTAAGATTACTGTTATAAATTCTTCTGGTCCCTAAGGGGGGAGACAAAAAACTTCTCAAAACTTTTAAGGTCATTAAAAAAAATCCACCTTTAAATTGGAGGTAGTTTCAGTTTACTTTCATATTTTAAAATCAAATCTTAGCTTCAGCCTCACATCAAAGCAGAAATGTCAGTCGCTTTGTTTCTACATCTCCTGTGAAAGAAGTTCCAGCTTATACATGAGCTGAATGCCAAGTAAATAGATTTTCCTTGGGAACAAAGGCACCTTTTTTTTTTTTTGGTTTGTTTTAAACATATGTAAATAGAGTCCCAGAAGCTGAGCTGCCTGTCACTTCAACCAGGTTTACACTCATGTCACTCCAGCTGGTTATTTCTGACTGCCCTTAGGTCAGGACTGCAGAAGTTTCCCTCCCCACTCCTCCACAGTCATCTCCAGCAGCCACTCATGCCCTTTCCTTCCAGTCTCACACCTCAGCAAAGGGGAAACAGATTAATATGGATCCCTTTTTTGCTAGTTCCTTATTCTTTCGGGTTTTTTTGTGGTTTTTTGGTTTCTGTTTTTAAGCTCCAGTTACAGAATCCCAGAAATGCTTTGGCCCTGTGAATACTTTGGGCCTCTGTCACAGACACTGAGATGGTTCTGAGATCTCTTGGCAGAGCAGAGCAGGTACCTGGATACCACCAGTGACCAGTCTGGGCTGTGCCTACACACCAGGCATTTATTAAAGACTGATGGCACCTATTGGTTCATGGTCAAGATTTTGGGGGCAGGGAAGAAACAGGAATGGATTGGTAGGAAAATGACTTTTCGTTGTTTTGGGGTTTTTTTTACAGGAGGGCACCATCAGCCTTGAGATTTCTCTTTTCAGTACTAGACATTTAAAGAGTACAGAGTTATTTTCCTCAAAGCCAGAGGACACCAAAGAGGAGTATGATCCCTTCACACGCCCTTCTAGTACTCTTTTTTCTTTTTTTAATTTAAACTAGCAGATCAATGCAAAATTGAGCACTTAGTGCTTGTCATTTCCAAATGGTTTGGGTTATATCTTTATCTTGAGCACTTGTTTTGGGTGTAATACTGGGTAGCACCAAGGGATGCATCACTTTATAGGCTCTGCATAAGCCGCAATTAAGGAAAATCCTCAAGCACACGAGAAACCTCAATTTTGATTGGCCACGTTCCCATAACTTATTGATAATTCAAATCACTCGAGTATTATTCAGTGTTTTCCTTCTCCCTGCTTTTTTTTATCTCTTGACAAGTTTACAAAGAGAAGAATGGAGCTGAGCTGAGCTGCATTACATCCAATATGCTGCCTACACAAATGCCAGAGAAGCTAAATGAACCCCAGAACATATGGCACTCTGCTGACAGAGCTCCGAAACTGGTTCTGCATGAGCAACAAGGAACATCTTGAAACGCACAAGACATATGTGTTTTAGGAAGAAGATTGAAGTGTTTCATAATAAAACAGGACAAAGTGAAATACAAGTGCTGTATAAAATTTTAATTAAAAACTGGTTTTACCCCTCAACGTGAATATACAATATGTTTCC